TAATGACGCATATAATTTTAAACTCACCAGCATAAACTATAAATTTGACAGCAACATCAATATCATTTCTAAAAGATAATTTCTTGACAATAACAACTGATTTATTCTTAGTCACACTGTTTATTCCACTTTTCCTGTCATTCTTCTTGATTCTCTTTTTCTTATTATTATTTAGATTTTTTTTCAAATTTTCATTAATTTCAATATTTGAATTAGATGATGATTCTGATTGGTGAGAATTGAACAATTTAATAATGGGTGAAAGAATAAAACGCAAAATTTTTTTTGAAAAAAATCTCCAAAGAAATAATATAATCACTCCTATTAAATAGATTCATTGATATAAAGATATAGAATAATTAGCCCAAACAAACAAACAAACAAACAAACAACCAACCAACCAACCAGTCAATCAATCAATGTAATATAATTAATTTTACCAAATATGATTCTTGCAATTGATATTGGAAATCCAATAATATTATAATCATATGGAATATTTGCTACACCAGATCCATGTAGACTATATGAAGATTTTGCATGTCTCCAACTTCCAAAAATCATTCCTACCAAAACACCAATAAATGCAACACTATAATTTATAATAAAGATTACGTCGATTTAGAAAAAAATAAAAAATATTTTTAAAAATATTTTTCTTTCATACCAATCTTCAAAGCATGGACAATCATCTACTGGTTCAGGAAATATATAAATTGTAAATATTCCAATAAATATAATCCCAATTGGAACTGTTTGTTTTGGGAGAGAAAAATTAGTATCATTTAACCAAAATCAATTAAATGAGATGAATGAATGAATAATTTTCACCTAATAAACTATCATTCAATATCAATTCTTCAATATTATTTTGCCATCCCCATTGAGTCCACCACGATAAAATTCCAATACACACACCTGCTAAAACATCTAGCAAAAGGATACATAATTTATAAAACATTTCCCAATTAATCAATTAATCAAATCAATCATATTTTATTTGACCATTTTTTTAACCAAATAATTACCAGTGATGCTATGCATTCCACAATAAATACGACCGATTGTTATGGTCAAACAATAAGTTGACAATATAGTGACATAAATGCTTTTTATTAA